GCCCCGCCTCAGGCTCGGACCTGCAGCCCCCCAGCCCGCGGCGGTTTCAGGTTGCTGTGACTGCCCGTGTTTGTCCGGCAGGATTTCCCCGCTGAGCGTTTCTCAGCCCCGTCCTCACTGACAAAGAGCGGCTTTTCCCCGGGTGCTGCGGGCAGCGCGTCTTGGCTGTGCTCCTGGCGTTTCAAAAGGCATTTTCCTAACATGAAGTGACCCGTGGTTGATCCTAAAGCACTTTCCTCGTGGCCTGGCGCGAGCGAGCCGTCACCTCCCCCTCCCTTTGCTCCCTCAGCATTACTTCACCGTTAATTTCAACCATGAGAACCAGAAGACTCTGGAGCTGAGGACTGAGGATGCCAAGGACTGTGACGAGTGGGTGGCAGCAATAGCACGTGCCAGGTACCATCACCCTCTGCCAGCGCGGAGCAGGGGACGGGGGTGTTGGAGCTGAAGCCGGTCCCGAGGGTGGCTGCAGGCAGGGAGTTGTCGGGTTTGGACCCCAGCCCCGGGCTGGGACCCCTGGTGCAGACCAGGAGGCTGCATCCCAGCCTGGTGCCCAAGGAACGCCCGATTCACCGTCGGGTTCAAAGACAGCTGGGAAAGGTTTCACCTGGAAGAGCAGCAATGGGTCGAGGGAGGATTTTCCAGGCTGGTGTCTCTGTGCCGTGGGAATGGTGGCACAGAACCCCTCGCTGCCCAGGGGAGAGGTCAGGAGCCCGCATGGCACAGCTGCAGCTGGTGAGGGGGGGTGCCAGGCTGGCAGCGAGGGGGGCAGAGCAGTGAGATGTCATCTGCTGCAGCACCTCAACCAGAGCAGATGTTCCCAATAGCTTGTTCCACAAACGTCCTCCTCTCTTCGGGATGTGGCAGGGAAGAGAGGTTTGGCCATGGGGTTTATTTAACTCTCCTGTCATTTCCTGAAAGTTTAGGTTGTCTTTTCTGTTTGCACCCTCATGGTGAACCCACCTCATCTCCAGATGGGTCAGTTCTGAGTAGCAGGATCCCAAATAGCCGGAGCTGGCTCCTGGGTCCTTCGCCCCGTGGTACCCTGAGCCAGAGGGACACGGGCAGTGTGGGAAGGAGAATCACCCCCCACCCCCCCAGCAAACCCCACCTGATTTTGTGTGCACATCCCAGGGGGGCTGCGGTGGGGGTCCGGGGCAGGGGGGAGCTCCCAGCCACCTCTGCCCGCAGCTACAGGACCCTGGCGACGGAGCACGAGGCGCTGATGCAGAAGTACCTCCATCTCCTGCAGATCGTGGAAACGGAGAAGACGGTTGCCAAGCAACTCCGCCAGCAGATCGAGGACGGGGAGATCGAGATCGAGCGCCTGAAGGCCGAGGTGAAGAGCCCAGCGTCGCCCCACGGCCGCGCTGCCGCTCCCCCGGGCCACCCGTGTGCTGCGGGGGGCAGCGGGGCCAGGCTGGCAGGGCCCGGGGGGTCACAGCAGGATTTACCCCTGTTTAGTGACGCGGGGCTGCCCTCGGCGTTGGAGGGGTTTCCCGCAGGAGCCGCGCGGATCCGCTGCCCCCGCCTGGGCCGTGTGCGGCGCTCAGCGGGGTCCCCGGCCCCGGGGTGTTGCTGCCGCTGGGGCAGGGGCTGGGGGTCCTGTCCCTTGGGGTCAGGGGAAGGTGTTGGGGTAGAGATCGGGACTTCCCACCTCACCATTTCTCACAGAGCCCTCTGTGTGCCGCGGGGTGCTGGTGACATCTGCCAGGCACAGGGTTTTACACCGGGCTTCACTTGGCGTCGGTTCATCCCTTTGGTTTCTGTTTGTTGTTGTGGTTTTTTTTAAACTGTTCCACGTGCTTTGAAGCAGAGATCAAATAATCAGCTTCTACTTTAATGTGTAAATTTTGCTCATCCAATAAAAACCCAACCCCACCCCACGGCACGGGCAGACCCAGCCCGTGGGTCCCAGCGAGCCCTGGAGCCGCGCAGGGAACTGCGGTGCCTCAGGCACTTGAGAGCAGTGGGATGGGGGGATGTCTGGGGACTTGAGGCTTCATAGGAAGGCACAGGGAGAAGGGAGAAGGTTTCTAAAGTATCTTTTAAAAATCTTAATTTAAGCTGGCGTGGTGCCCCTGAGCCCAGGGCCGTTTTCTCCAGCCTGTTGCTGCTCCCGCTGAGCGCCCGGGCAGTGCTGGTGTGTTGGTCACAGGGAAGAGATCTCAGCTCCTTTCTCACCAAAACTTTTTGGAAATAACTTTTTTGAGAAGTGTTTTCTTGTTCTTACTATTTTCTGTACAATCACAATTGAAACAATGTTTTTCCTAGTTTTCATTTTCTGTTTTCCTGCCCTTTCCTGCGGTGGGGACCCGGGCGGGGGCTGAGCCACGGATGAGGAGGAAGGGCAGAGAGGAGCAGTGAAAGTTCTCGTGCTGGAAGCCAACGAGGTTCTGTCCCACCTGTGCTGGGGAGCCGTGACTGGGCAGGAGTTTGTCCTTCTCGGCAAGTTTTAGGGTGCAAATGACTCGAGGTTTTCCTGCCATTTTGCCCTCACTTGTTTTTAAATGACTTGCCCGTGACGGGTTTCCTAGAAAGCTGGGGTGAGGATTGCACCAGGTCCCTGGCTGGGTGTCCAGGTCCCTGCCTCGGGGGCGTTTGATGGGTGCTGGGGATGCTGGGGATCACCTGCTCCATCTCCTGTCGGTGCAGAGTCAGTGCAGTATGTCGCTGGGTCTGTAGTTCCACTTGCCATTCCCTGGCACTGCAGGGATTGTCCTTGGCTCCTGGGATGTGCCGGGGCAGCTGCTCACCCCCCTGTGCCCACAGATTGCCTCCCTGCTGAAGGACCACGAGCGCATCCAGGCCGGCCAGACCAGCGCGCCCAGCGACGATGACAGTGACATCAAGAAAATCAAGAAGGTGGGTGGTGGGGACACAGGAACAGGCTGGGTGGTGGGGACACAGGAACAGGCTGCCCAGAGATTCTGCCCCAGCAGCCTGGCCCACGGGAGGTGCCTCCCTGCCCCGCAGCAGCTGGGTGGGGGCAGATCTCAGGTGTTCATCGCAATGCTAAGAGGTCCCAGCCGGGCAGCATCTGCCCCACCCCATGAGCTGGGACCTGCCTGTATTTGTGGGCAGCAGCTGCAGGGCAGGACATGTCCCTGCCCACAGCAGCAGGGTTGGGAAAATATGAGCCTTAAGGTCCTTGCCACCCAAACTGCCCTGGGATTGTGTGTTTGGCAGGAGCCACGGTCCGTTCCCCAGCCGGGGGGGCTCGGGGCGGCCCCGGGTGCAGGAGCTGCCCGGGCCAGCTGGGCACGGGGACAGGGCCCTGAGGTGGTCACTGTCCCTCGGCAGGTGCAGAGCTTCCTGCGGGGCTGGCTGTGCCGCAGGAAGTGGAAGACCATCATCCAGGACTACATCAGGTCCCCCCACGCCGACAGCATGCGCAAGAGGAACCAGGTGGTGTTCAGCATGCTGGAGGCCGAGGCCGAGTACGTCCAGCAGCTCCACATCCTGGTCAACAACTTCCTGCGGCCGCTGCGCATGGCAGCCAGCTCCAAGAAGCCTCCCATCACACATGACGATGTCAGCAGCATATTCCTCAACAGGTGAGTCCCATTCTGGGCTCCAGGAGCTTCCTGGGCAGGCCTTGGTGTCCACAGCCTGCTGCCCTCCCTGGGAGTGGATGTTGGGGTGCTCAGTGCTGGGGGTCCCCGGGAGCCAGCAGCCTGGCCCTGAAAGCCACGGGTGGAAGGTCAGCATCCCCATGGGATATTGGCACAAGTGTCCTGCTGGGCAGTGGCACAAGGAGGTGCTGTGGGGGAAGATGTTCCAGGGCTTCAGCAGTGGGTCAGGGCCAGGAGTCTGTCTATGGGATGTCCTGGCTCTGATGGGGTAGGACAGTGTCCATCAGCACTGATATCAGTCCTTAAGCTTTCCAGCACCTGATGGGCTCCAGGAAAGCTGGGGAGGGACTTCTGACAAGGGCATGGAGTGATAGAATGAGGGGAAACGGCTTTAAACTGGAAGAGGAGAGATTTGTATGAGGAATTAAGAAGAAACTCTTCACTGCGAGGGTGCTGAGACACTGGAACAGGTTGCCCAGAGAAGCTGTGGCTGCCTCATCCCTGGAGGTGCTCAAGGTTACTCCAAGCCCCTTCCAACCTGGCCTCGAGCACCTCCAGGGATGGGGCAGCCACAGCTGCCTGGGCCAGGGTCTCAGCAGCCTCATTTTGTCTCATTATTTGTTATTTGCCACTTGTTCACCTGCCTTTTTTTCACCCCTTGGTTTCTCCTCCAGCGAAACGATCATGTTTTTGCATCAAATCTTTTACCAAGGCCTGAAGGCCAGGATCTCCAGCTGGCCAACACTCGTGCTGGGTGAGTGCCTGGTGCCTCCTCGCTGCACCTCAGCAGTGCCACGTGTTGCACAGTGTGTCACTTCTTCATGCTGCTCATGGCAGTGAGGACCAGAGCAAAAAAACAGAGAAACCCAATTGTGGGAATGGTTCCCATGTTCCTGGTTCTTCTGGGTGGTGGAAGGGGTGGGATGCACCAGGAGAACTGATGCTGAAGAGCTTTGCTGTGTCTGATGAGACCCTCAGCTGGCTCTACGGGGGATCCTTAAAACCCAAACTGGGCAGACCTGGGGCTTGCAGAAGCAGCACAAGGCCCCAGGAGGTGACCCTGGTGGGATCTGGGGGTGAGGAGGGTTGGGAGCCAGGGGAGTCTGTGCTGGGACCCCTAGGGTGTGGGCTGGACCAGCACACCCACCTCCCCACCACTTCTGCTCACAGCTGACCTGTTTGACATCCTGCTGCCCATGCTGAACATCTACCAGGAGTTTGTGAGGAACCACCAGTACAGCCTGCAGATCCTGGCACACTGCAAGCAGAACCGGGACTTTGACAAGTTGCTGAAGCACTATGAGGCCAAGCCTGACTGTGAGGAGAGGACCCTGGAGACCTTCCTGACCTACCCCATGTTCCAGGTGAGTGCTGGGATTGGCCACCACAACACTGCTAGCAAGGGATGGGCTGCGTGGTGCAAACCCCAGACCCATAGCAGGCATGGGGGGGTGGGGAGGCAAAGCCTGGGTGAAGATGGCCTGGGCTGGACTCTGCGTGGTCCCACACTGCTCCTGGCACCTGCTCAGGCCATTGCTGGGCTGGTTGGTGCTGCAGGAGGACTCTGTAGGTGGAGCTGCTGCTTCCCTGATATGTCTGTGGTACGGATGGGGCACAGCAGGTTCCTGGGCAACCCCCCCACTCTGGCCCCCCATCCTTACCTTTGAGCACAAGCTTTGAAGCTTTTGTAACCTCCCAGACCAGGGGTTCTGACATGGTATCCCTTGCTGTGGTGTCCCCACAGCCCTCCGTGCCCCTTCACCCCCTGCCCTGTGCCCTGATGCCCTGCTCTGGTCCTTGTGCCACAGATCCCCCGGTACATCCTGACGCTGCACGAGCTGCTGGCCCACACCCCCCACGAGCACGTGGAGAGGAACAGCCTGGATTATGCCAAGTCTAAGCTGGAAGAGCTCTCCAGGTCAGTCCTGTCCCTCTGGCACTGGGGGCAGGTCTGGGCTGTGAGGGGCTCTGGGCAGGGAGAGGGGCTGGGGCAGCCCCCCCTGTGTGTCCAAAGGGGCCTGCAGGGAAAAGTGCAATTCTCATCTGAACTCCCATTTGTCTCTTCTCCCTCCCTCAGGATCATGCACGATGAAGTGAGCGAGACCGAAAACATTCGGAAAAACCTGGCGATAGAGCGGATGATTATTGAAGGGTGTGAGATCCTGCTGGACACCAGCCAGACCTTCGTGAGACAAGGTGCCGTGTTGGTGTCCACGTCCCTGCCCTGCAGCCCCCAGCCCCGCCCTGTGGTCTGGTGAGCAGGGACATTTGAAAACATACACCCTGTTTCTGGGTGTTCCCTGCCCCAAGCGCATCGCCCGCCGGCAGCCCCGGCACCGCGCGTGGCCGTGTCGGCCCTTAGGGACTTCCCACCGCCAGACACACCTCCTGACCCCCTGGGCTGGGGGCTGTGCCCGGTGCCCTCCGGGGCAGAGCTGGTGGCTCCCGGTGCTGATCCCAGCACTGAGGACCCCCCTGCTGCCCCCCGCCCGGGCACAGGGCAGTGCCCTGCTCCGGGGGCCGTGCCCTGCGGAGCTGCCCCTGACCCAGGGCTGGGTCTCTCCTCTCCGCAGGATCCCTGATCCAGGTGCCGATGTCAGAGAAGGGGAAGATCCCGCGGGGCCGGCTGGGCTCCCTCTCGCTGCGGAAGGAGGGCGAGCGGCAGTGCTTCCTCTTCTCCAAGCACCTGATCATCTGCACCAGGGGCTCCGGGGGAAAGCTGCATCTCACCAAGGTACGGGGGGCTCGGCAGCCCCCCCCGCGGGGGTCCTTGGGTTGCTGGGGCAAGGTGAGCGGGCAGGGCCTGGCACAGCTGCCGGCTCGGGCTCTCCTGGTGACACCAGGGGTTTGGGGATCACCTTCCCCTCCAGGCTGCAGCCCCCGGGGGGACCCAGGTGTGGAGCAGGCTGGTGATCAGGTTTAATTCACGTGGCCCAGACACCGTGTGAGTGACGTGCAGAGCTCTGAGTCACGGCACAGAGCAGACATTGCAGGCTCTTGGTACAAGAAGTTGTCCTGCTTTGCAGCAGAAACTCGGGAAGTCCAACCCCAGCTGGGTTTTACCCAGCACCTGGGCCCCTCCTGCCTGTCCCCAAGGGCCATGTGCTCCTTGGCGGAAGTTTTGTGGTTAACTGAGCAAGAATCTTACAGAAATGGCTTGTTACTGTCCCTGAGCTGTCAGTTGAAGAAGGTGTCCACAGCGAGGAGTTTATAATTACAACAGACTTTTGGGAAATGTCATTTAAAGTCCGTCTGAAATAACTGATGAACAAATGATTTGGGTTGCACCAGAAGAACCAGGACACCCCAGCAGCCTGTAGCTGTGTAACCCCAGTGAACGCAGGCACTGGGCTGGCTGTGCCCTTCAGCAGCATCTCCCTGGCCCTGCCCGGGGGGGCTGGGATGGGGACAGGGGATTCCCAGCCCCCCAGAGGGATCCCTCCTGAGCCCCACTCCCTCCCCGCAGAACGGCGTCATCTCCCTCATCGACTGCACGCTGCTGGAGGAGCAGGAGAGCACCGACGAGGACGGTGGGTGTCCCTGCTGGGCTGACCCCCTCGGGCCTGCCCAGGGCCCTGCACAGCCCCCACCGTGGGTGCAGGGGGGGTGGTGGGTTGGCTGTGCATCTCCCAGTGGGTGCTGGGCAGAAGGGCAGCTCAAAAAGCAAAGTTGTGGCTGCTCCAGGAGCCTCTTTGCTGAGGTTGACAGCACCACCAGCACTGCAGCATCTCCTGCTGTGTCCTGGGAGCAGTTTGGGGGCTTGTGCACAGTCACCCCATTGTAGGGGGCAAAGATCATGCCCAGGGGGGCCCGGGGGCTGTGGGAGCTGCGAGTCCTGCTGGAGGCTGCACCTGATGCCAGAGCCTTGGCGTGAAGTTGCTGCCACGTTCCGTGGCTGGGGACCAATGACAGTGTGGCCAGCACTGCTGGTGTCCCCTGTCATGGATGTGGCTTGGCTACAGAGCTGTGAAAAGCCCTGGGCTCCTTTCTCTTGTCCTTTGTGCTGCCCTCAGGCCGTGCAGGCTTTGTTTTGTACACACTGAGACTTTGCCCAGCAAACCTGTCCTGTCCTCTACCCTAGACAACCTGCAAAAGGCAACAAGCACCTTAAAACCTTAATAAAACCTGTGCTGGGGGAGAGACAAGTGGGGAGAGCTTTTTCCAATCACTGTGTGTGGCTTTTCTATTCCAAAGCAAAAGCATCAGGGCAAGACATTGACCACCTCGACTTCAAAATTGTGGTGGAGCCCAAAGATTCCTCCTCTTTTACCGTCATTCTTGTGGCCTCATCCAGGCAGGAGAAAGCTGCATGGACCAGTGACATCAGCCAGGTAGGATGGACCCAGTGGGGAGGAGGTGTTGGGGCACAGGGTCCCTGGGGATGAGATTTATTTTTTTTCCCAAGTGGAAGAGACACAGTTGTTGGTTGAAGAGGGCTTGTCTCCTGGCTGCCTCTGTTGTGCCATGTCCTTGCCTGCATCCCCTTGCTGAGCATCTTGTCTGGCTCAGGCCCTGCTCAGGCTCCTGTGGCACATCCACACTGGGCTGGCAGTGGGGCTGTCCCCCCACCTCCCACCCGTGTCTCTTGCAGTGTGTGGACAACATCCGCTGCAACGGGCTCATGATGAACGCCTTCGAGGAGAACTCCAAGGTCACTGTCCCCCAGATGATCAAGTGAGTGCTGCCACGGTTGGGAGCTCAACGTGCTGATTAGGAGTGCTAATTAGCTGGGAGAGGAGCTTTGTGTGGGGGGAGGGGGGAAGAGACCCCCGCTGCTGGGGTCTGCTGTCCCACAAGGGGAAAGGTCTCAGTCTCTGGGTCTCCTCTAGGGACAGTTGCTCCACGTTGTTGGCACAAACCTCTACCTTGGCCACTGTGCAGTGTTTCCACCCATTCTGGGATTTGGGTTTCCTGGCTTTCCCCTGGGAGTATTCCCACCTGTGTTTTACAGAGGGACACCCCATAGGAGCAAGGGTCCTTCCCTGCCCAGGCCCTGAACCACCTTCCGAGGTCCCCGCACATCTTGGGGGAAGCTGCTTGTGTGAAGCAGCTCTTGGTTTCGTTCCAGGCTGGAAACACAGGTGTCTTGTTTCTCTGCAGGTCTGATGCCAGCTTGTATTGTGATGATGTTGACATTAGGTTCAGTAAAACGATGAATTCCTGCAAGGTCCTGCAGATCCGCTATGCGAGCGTGGAGCGGCTCCTGGAGCGGCTGACGGACCTGAGGTTCCTGAGCATTGACTTTCTGAACACGTTCCTGCATTCGTACCGTGTCTTCACCACCGCCCTGGTTGTCCTTGACAAGCTCATCACTATCTACAAGAAGCCCATCAGTGCCATCCCTGCACGGTGAGGCTGCCCAGCACCACAGCAGGGCCCATGCTGAGTCCTGCTCCAAAGCACTGGTGGAGTTTTTTGGGGGGAGGGGGGTGGCTGTGGCATTGCTCCCCCATCCCCTTGTCTGTCCTGGGTCTGTGCTCTGCTCCTCAGACCTGCCCACTCTTGGGCTGTTTTGCCTTGTCCCCCTGAGTCGTGAGGCCCTCAAACCAGGGAGGTGGATAAACCTGAGCTCTGGAGGTGTCCCTGCTCCTGGGGGGGGAGGGTGCAGAGGCTCGTGCTGGCTGTGCCATGCCTGTGGGATGTCCCAGAGATTCCGGGCTGGTGGAGCTGCTGATGGGTTCTCCACGATGAGTTCAGCCTTTCCCTGTCTCTCCACCCAGGTCCCTGGAGCTCCTGTTTGCCAACAGCCAGAACAACAAGCTGCTGTACGGCGAGCCCCCCAAGTCCCCCCGAGCCAACCGCAAGTTCTCCTCACCTCCCCCCCTCTCCATCACCAAGTCCTCCTCCCCCAGCCGGCGGAGGAAGCTCTCCCTCAACATCCCCATCATCACCGGAGGGAAGGCGCTGGACCTGGCCGCCCTGAGCTGCTCCTCCAATGGCTATGCAAGCATGTACTCCTCCATGGCACCCTTCAGCAAGACCACCCTGGACATCAACAAACTGTACGTGTCCAGTAACTATCCCAATCCATCACCAAGTCCTCCTCCCCCAGCCGGCGGAGGAAGCTCTCCCTCAACATCCCCATCATCACCGGAGGGAAGGCGCTGGACCTGGCCGCCCTGAGCTGCTCCTCCAATGGCTATGCAAGCATGTACTCCTCCATGGCACCCTTCAGCAAGACCACCCTGGACATCAACAAACTGTACGTGTCCAGTAACTATCCCAATAAAATCCCAGACGAGGGAGAAGCAGCCTCAGAAAAGCAAGAGGAGCCCTTGCAGAGCAAGCAAAGTAAGTGGCTGCAGGTTTGCAGGTGGGTGGGCCAGTGGTGGTGGTGGCAGTGGTGACAGTGGTGGTTCTATGGCTCCTCCCCAAAAAAACAAGCAAAATGGGATTCTGTACCTTCCCTGGGCTTGGTTGCTGTGTGCCCAGCTGGAATGGCTCAGACTTCAGGAAAATCTGGAAGGGCTAAAACACACCTGTGACATGCCCAGGGTGCTGGTGACTGGTTCCCTGTCCTTCCCAGGCTCAGAGGTGTCGGTCAGGGAGGAGTCGGACACAGATCCCAACCAGAGCGATGAAGCAGAAGCTGAAGCTTCCCCAACAAAATCTCCAACCACTCCGAAGACTGTCAAGTGCAAAAATTCCTCAGGTAACAAATGAACCAAGACCTCACCCAGGGCCACACGCTGCCCTTGAACCTGGCCCTGCAGAGCTGCTAAAGGTGCAGGGGTAAAACTGAGGCAGGTGTGAGGAGGAGCAGAACTTTGCCCTTTATTTTCCTCCAGGGAGACAGGGAAGTGCCAAACCCTCCAGCGTTTCCCACCCTTTTCCTCCCATCCCAGGGCTGCTTGAGATGGGATCCTGGGCTGGCACCAGCCAGGTTTACTTGCTCGGGTCTCTCCTGTAGCCACGTTAGCACCACCTGTAGTACCCGCTTGGTCCTTGCTGGGGCTCTGCTGGGCACATTTCTGCGGGCGGGGGCATCCAGGGCTGCCCTGCTCCTGTGCCTGTGTGCTGGGGGGGCTGGTGAGGGGCTGCGGGAGGGACCTGGCCGGGGCTGTGGCTGCAGTGGTGCTTTCTTCTCCCCCCCTCGCAGATTTCTCGTTGTTTTCTTACAACAACGGGGTGGTGATGCCGTCCTGCCGGGAGCTGGACAGCACCCGCAGCGCCCTCTCCGCTGCCTCCGCCTTCGCCATCGCCACGGAGGGAGTCAACGAGGGCACCCCCACCAAGGAGAAGTACCGCAGGATGTCCCTGGCCAGCGCAGGTACCTGCCCTGGGCTGCCCACTGAGTGGGGAGGAGTTTTCCAAGCGCCTGTTTCCACTGATATATTTTTTCAATGGAACACCCTGGCCAGTAGATCCCAGTGCACCCACAGCCCAGCACCCCCCGTTCCGGGCTGGGGTCCCTGGGCACGGAGGCTGCCTGAGGAACAGGTGGGGTTTGGGCAGCTCAGCTCTTTCCTGCCTTTGAGCAAAGACCCTCCCTGGGGCTGAGTTTAAAGAGGCAGCTTAGGGATGCTTGGGAAGATGGGGCTGCTCCTTCTAGTGCTCCTGGAAACACCCAGAAGTGCTTCCTGAGGGAGTGTGGCTGAGCTCAGGGCTCGCTGGCAGTTTCAGGCTTCCCGACAGACCAGCGGAACGGAGACAAGGAGTTTGTGATCCGGAGAGCAGCCACCAACCGCGTCCTGAACGTGCTGCGGCACTGGGTCTCCAAGCACTCCCAGGTGGGTGCCGGGGGGCTCGCTGCTCGGGGACCCTCCCTCCCTGCCAGCTGGAATCTGGCAGAATGCTGGGTGGCTCAGCTGGGAAGACAATTTGGCACTTCTGTCATTAAGCAAATGAGTGGGCATGGGGAGGAGCTGGAAAGGGGGGAGCAGGGAACCGGGAGCCCTGGCGCGGGGCTGGGCGTTGGGCACTGGTTGCACCCTGGGTGTGCCAGGGGGAGAGCTGGGATCCACGGACATCCCACCGGCTGGAAGTGGAGTAGCTGGTCTGATTCCTGTCAGGGTTGTCAGGCCAGGGTCCAGGTTAGGTAACTGTGTGGCTCTCCTTGCTGTCCCTGTCCCTCTCTGCTGCTGGTGGCACTGGGAGTGGTGCTGGGCTTGTTGGCACTGGGAAGCCCCCGTGCCTCTCCCAGGCTGGGTGATGCCAGTGGACTGGTGCAGAATGGACCTGGTGCCTTCCTGGCCAGTTCCCATTTCCTGGGCACTGCAGGCTGGCGTTTTGCTGGAAGAAGGGCCAGGCAGGGAACTGAGCTGCTGCTCCCGTGTAGCCCAGTAACCCTCTGCCTGCACCAACCTTGGCAGGACTTTGAAACCAACGAGGAGCTGAAGTTCCGAGTGATTGGCTTCCTGGAGGAGGTTATCCATGATCCCGAGCTCCTGACCCAGGAGAGGAAAGCAGCTGCCAACATCATCAGGTGTGGGGCTGTGGGGGGAGGCTTCTCTTCCTGGATTTTGTTCCAGGCTCCTGATGGCTGCTTCCCAGGGATAAGGACAGGCACGAGGCCCCGGGAGGGGCTGAGCCAGAGCAGGGCTCGGGAGGTGCCCGAGGAGGCCGGGCATGTTGGGGCTTCATCCCCCTCCCCACACACTGGGACGTGGTTGGGGGCAATGGGAGTGGTGTCACCCCCACCCCTGTCTCCACGTGTGGGGTCAGCTCCTCAGTCCAGGAGTTGTGTTTTTTTCCTCTTTACAAGTGGAAATGGGATTCCAAGTATTCCTATGGACACCAAACCTTTAACCTGTGCCAGCCCCCCAGGTCATGCTGCAGCCCCTGGAGCTGTGCTGGGCTGGTGCTTTCCCAGCTGTGGTAACACTGTCTTCTTGTACTGTAGGACCTTGACACAGGAGGATCCAGGAGACAACCAGATAACCCTCGAGGAGGTCGTGCAGATGGTAAGTCCCTTTCCCTTCATCCCACCTCCTGGTAGCTTGGTGTGGTGGTGGGAGCAGCTGAAGGTCCTGGCACCCCGGTGCACCCAGCTCAGGGGACAGCAGCTCTCCGAGCCCTCTGGCCACAAAGCAAAGAAAGGTTTTCTGGGGATGTGGCCAGCTGTGAGCACAGCTGGATCTGTTATGAGCAGAGGCAACACTAACCCAGCCCCTGCCCACATTAGTCCTCCAAGGGCAGGATGGCTGCTTGGGCACAGAGTGATGCCTGTTTGAGGGATACAGGAACACCCCTTGGGTTTCCACCACGTCCTCTGTCCCCAAACCCAGGCCATGTGCTGGTTCCAAGGGCTGGGCACTGGGCCAGCTGGTGCTGGTCCCCTGGGAGCAGAGTCCTGGGAATCTGCAATGGATTTAAAACCATCAGTGTGGCTGCGGTGCATTTGCCACCTTCCTGCATTAAAGAAAAACCAACAACAAACAAAAACCAACAAGTCTGCTCCTAGAAAAACCCAAGAGCCACTTTAAACTGGCCTGGTGCACCTGAAACAACAGCAGCTCCTTTCCCTGGAGCTGCCACCAGCTTCTGGAGTGGCTGAGGCCCCTTGGAGTGTTTTGAAGCTTTTGTTTGCAGCCACTGAGTGCTGGAAACTTCCTTTGAAGAAGACAAACAAAACCGGAGGGTTTCACAACTGCCTTCTCAAGGAGGGTGTTTTGCAACAGGCTGTTGACTCAGGAGGGCTTCCTGGGTCCAGGTCTCTGGGCAGGGCAGCAAGGAGTGTCCCAGCTGTAAGAGTAGTCACTGCTGGCCTGGAACCAGCACAGGGCATTTGCACCCACCATGCTCTGCACCTGGGCCCTTGCAGCTCTGTCCCCAGAGCCTCCTGCAGTTCCCCATCGTGCTTCTTGGTCCCAGCCTGGCCCCTCTTTCTGTGCACTCCCCATGCTGGGAGCTGCTGCAGTCCCGTCCCTTTTCCCAGGACCAGGACAGGAGAGATGCTGCTGCACATTTCCAGGTGGAGGGCCGTGGTGACAGGATTTTAGACCATTCCTTGCCTGCAGGCAGGCACAGAGGATGCTCTCCTGCCTTCCTGGCCATCCCCTGGAAGAGCTCTCCCAAGCAGCAGGTCTGGGAGCTGCCGACCCCACAGGGGCTGCTGGGCAGGGGGAGCTGGGCAGGAGGCTCCAGCCTGGATCCCCCAGTGCTTTGTTGGTGTGGAGCACCAGGCAGCAGTGGGTGTGCAAGGACTGATCCATTGCTGACACCTCATCACTGACACAGAGAAGAGCAGTTAGTTTTGTGTCCGTGCACATGGACGGACGAGAATGTGATGAAACCCGTGGGGCTGGCACTTCCAGCACTGGGGGATGTGCTGCCTCTGAACTTTGGGGCAGCATGGCCCTGCTCCAGTGGGGAAGAGCCTTTGGCTTGGCAGTCCAACCTGGGCTTTGATTTTGTGTGGGTGAAATGTAGAAGTTCTCACTGTGCTCTTAACCACGGGGCCTCGTCGCTGCCTTTGTCGCTCAGGCTGAGGGAGTCAAAGCAGAACCTTTTGAAAACCACTCGGCCCTGGAAATAGCAGAACAGCTGACACTGCTGGATCACCTGGTCTTCAAGAAGATCCCGTATGAGTGAGTCATCCCCATGGGTGAGGAAGGGCTCTCCTGGTCACCCCAGAGGGTGCAAAGCCTGCCCGGCTGCTTCCTGCTTTGCAGGCTGGGCTTGAGCCCAAACTTGTGCCTGATCCTGTGGTTTATCTGCTGGTGTCTCTGGGGTGACTTCCCACGTCCATCGCACTTTCAAACCTATCCATGCTGTCCCTTTCTGGCAGCACAGGGGGCAAAGGCCCTGGCTCCTCTGTCCTGTGTGGGTGCAGTGCCTTGGGTGTCCCAGAAAAATGGGAAATAAACGTTGACAATAAATGCTGTCATTTGCAGAGAGTTCTTCGGGCAAGGCTGGATGAAGCTTGAGAAGAATGAAAGGACTCCTTACATCATGAAGAACACGAAACACTTTAATGATGTGAGTGCCCCGGGGGGGACAGGGAGATGGGTGAAGCAGGGCAGTGCAGCCACCCTGCTCTGGCCTTAGCCAGGACCCGGGGTGTGTGAGGTTTATCTTCCCCTGCGCTCCCGGCTGGGAGGTGCCTGCAGCACCTGCAGCATCTCCTGGAGCAGTTGCTCCTGTTGGGAGCAGGGAAGGAAAATCTCTTTTTGTTCTAAACGCTGCGGGGCCGGAGGGTCGGAGGCTGCTGGGGGGGGTGTCCTGAGGCGCGGGCCGGGCCGGGTGTCTCCCTGCAGGTCAGCAACCTGATCGCCTCCGAGATCCTGCGCAACGAGGAGCTGAACGCGCGGGCGAGCGCCATCGAGAAGTGGGTGGCCGTGGCCGATATCTGCCGCTGCCTGCACAACTACAACGCCGTGCTGGAGGTCACCTCCTCCCTCAACCGCAGCGCCATCTTCCGCCTGAAGAAAACCTGGCTCAAGGTCTCCAAGCAGGTGGGGACGCGGGGCTGATCCTCTCCCGGGAGGCAGGGGAAGGGGTTTGATGGGCGGAGGGTGTTGGGGGGACGTGTCGCCAGCGCGGGTGGGGGGGCTGAGTGCAGCCTGGGGAGGGCGGCCAGTGACACCAGGCTGGGTGCTGACACACCGGAGGGATGGGATCCATCCCGAGGGGGCTGGAGAGGCTGGGCTGTGCATGTGTGGGGACAATCCCAAACACAGATCCAGGCCAGGTGGAGAGCACTTTGAGAACAGCCTTGAGGAGAAGGATTTGGGGTGTTGGCAAAGAGAAGCTCACCATGAGCTGCCATCATGTGCTGGAGCCCAGAAACCAGCAGTGTCCTGGGCTGCATCCCCAGCAGCATGACCAGAAAGGCCAGGGAGGGGATTGTCCCCCTCTGCTCTGCTTTGGTGAGACCCTCCCCTGCAGGGCTGGGTCCAGCTCTGGGGTCCCCAACACAAGAAGAATATAGAACTGTTTGAGCAAGTCCAGAGGAGGCCCCAGAGATGATCTGAGGGCTGGAGCAGCTCTGCTCTGGAGCCAGGCTGGGAGAGCTGGGGTGTTCAGCCTGGAGAAGAGAAGGCTCCAGGGAGAACTGAGAGCAGCTTCCAGTGCCTGAAGGGGCTCCAGGAAAGCTGGGGAGGGGCTTGGGACAAGGGCAGGGAGGGATGGGAGCAGGGGGAAGGGTTTCAAACTGAAGAGGGGAGATTGAGATCTGAAAAATAAATTCTTTGCTGTGAGGGTGGTGAGAGCCTGGCCCAGGCTGCCCAGGGAAGCTGTGGCTGCCCCATCCCTGGCAGTGTTGAAGGGCAGGTTGGATGGGGCTTGGAGCAGCCTGGGCTGGTGGGAGGTGTCCCTGCACGTGCAGGGGGTTGGAACAGGACAAGTGACACTTTTGGTTTCTTGCAGACGAAAGCTCTGATTGATAAGCTCCAAAAGCTGGTGTCATCGGAGGGCAGGTTCAAGAACCTGAGGGAGGCACTGAAAAAGTGAGTGGACAATGATTCTCCTCCCACAGGAGCTGCTGCCGTGGGGCTGGGGAACCTGGATCCCCTTGGCCCTGACACCACAGGCAGGGGCTTTGCTCTGGAGGTGGCTGCAGAGGCAGCACTGGAGGTGTCTGGGTCAGTCAGCTCAGGGCAGCAGCCTGTGAAGTGATCCCGAGCCACGAGCTGCTCCTTGGAGCAGCCGCCTGGAAAGACGTGGCTAAGAGGGACTGCAAAGGGAGGAATCATTGCCAGGCTCCTGGAGACCTTCCCCCCTCCCCTGAGGTTAAACCCCCGGTTGTGCCTTGTCCACCTGTGGTTTCCCACCTCCAGTGCACAGCACTCCAGCTAGCATGGCTCCTCCTGGCAGCACTCCGGGTGGGTGGAGCAGGAGCTGAGCTGCTCTGGAGCTGGAGCATCCCCACAGGATCCTGCATCACTGTGGGGTAGGGGAAGCTTCCTGAGGTCTTCCCAGCTCTCTGCTGAAGCTGCCCCTGAACTCCCTTCCTTCATCCTGTGGCTTCATGCAGGGCACAGCTGCAGCTCCTGCTTCTCCTGCTCTGTCCATGGGGATGTGGCTGCAAGATGTGGCCCCAGGAATCAGCAGCTTTCCTGGTTTCTGTATATTAAAGACAATCCTCCAAATTCTGCCCTCTGTGGAGTCCCACCCTCCTACTCACTCCAAAGTCCCAAGTAAGGCAGTTATCTAACCTGTTTCTGACTTGCTCCCAAAGTTGTGACCCTCCGTGTGTCCCCTATCTGGGAATGTACCTGACTGACCTGGCGTTCATTGAGGAGGGGACCCCGAATTACACCGAGGATGGCCTGGTGAACTTCTCCAAAATGAGGATGGTGGGTGTCCCAGCCCTGCTGCAGGGGCCGGGTCAGAGCCTGGCCCAGGCTGCCCAGGGAAGCTGTGGCTGCCCCATCCCTGGCAGTGTTGAAGGGCAGGTTGGATGGGGCTTGGAGCAGCCTGGGCTGGTGG